ATATTTTTGATATATTATGTTATAAATTTCAAAGTATATTCTATTATATTTGGTATAATATATTTTTATATTTTGCTTTATATATAAAATTAAATATTACATTGTAAATTACATTATTCATTCATTAAAGTATACAGTATATTAAAATATATATGATATTTATATATTATCGTTTTAATTATATTATATTTTTTTATGTGATATATTGCATTTTATTTTTAAAAACATGTTTATATATCTATATAAGAGAGAGAGAGAGAGGAAAAAAACATAAGTATGCCACAATATATACACGTGTATGTATATTTATATATGAGAGAGAGAGAGAGAAGAAAAAAAAACATAAGTATGCCACAATATACACGTGTATGCATATATATATACATATGTACGTATGTAGGTAATGCCAGAGAGAGAGAGATAGAAGACATAGATGCAAGTATATAGAAGCGTCCCAAAGGATACGGAACAACTGCACAAACATATGCATAGACTCATGACTCATAAGTGAAATACGAAAAGCTCAAAGATGAACAGCTGGCTGCATCTGCTGCTGAATGCTGGCATCATACCCACAGAAACTAAAGACATTACCCCGGAAAAAAATGATTTTCCGAAGGTCAAAGTCAATCTGTCTGCTAGGCACAAACTAAGACTGATGACTGCGCTGGATGGCACAATCAAAATCAATGCCCTGTGCTTCACAGCAGTTCACTCATGCGCAACTGTCAGCCGTGACAATATATAATAACACAGGTCCGTTTCCAAATGTTCGAAAGAAGTCTCAGAATGACTCATGAAAAATGAAAACGCAAAGAATGTCAATTAACAATCAACAAACAACAGTGCAGCCCAGACAGGCCCAGACCATTGGAATCTTTCTGCTGTTTGGCCTCCCCTGCTATGCACGCAAAGCATGACCGCATGCACCCCCAGCGAACGCGTTAGCTCATCGTTTCGCTGTCATACGGCACAGCAAGACCCTGCTGGCCACGTTGGCCCCAAGGGTATGAGTGCTCAGAAGGTCAGAAAGCCAAGAAGGCAGGGAATGATTGTCACAAAGGATAACCAAGGCCCCTACCGAGCACTCCCTCCGCGTGCGCCCCACACCCGGCCAACGGTGTGAGAATGAGCAACAAAAGCTGTTCACCTGAATAAGGCCGAAATTGCCCGGACGGGCAGCCGACGTACAAGGTCTTGCACCGACGCGCAAATCTTCTGATTGCTCATCCTTGGGTAGGGCTAAACACAACATATGTGGACAGCAGATATGGAGTAGCCTATATGTCACTCCGCTCTCTCCGTCTCTCTCCCCCCTGCCCCTGTCACACGGAAAAGCAAACAAGACTCAAGAAATGCTAGAAGCCCAATGAAACAACGTACTAGTGGCATTAACTCATCAATGACAACAAAAAACTCAACAAACAAACAGTTTGCTGTCTGCATGTTGATATGTTGGTACCAGAGTACCCGCACGGGGCGGGGCGGAAAGGGGTATATATACTATAAGACCTTTCTCATCTATACAACTTGCATGCGCCGTGCGCGCGCGAGGCCCGTGCGTGCGCTTCTTTTTTCCAAACTGTTGCACTGCTGTCCAAGAACAGAGCCCGTTGCAATGCAATGCCAAATGAAATGCTGGACAAAGGCTGGACAGCTTAATCCGCAAACACTTGTTGGCAGTCTGATTGCCCGTCATGGCACTTCACCAAGCAAATCAGGCAAGAAGCTCTCACTATCCGCAATGACATTGCGGACCCAAGCTGCATCTGGCTGTGGCAAATGACATTCTGCACCTGCTCGATAAGCACTCAACAACATCGCCGCAGCCTGCACACCGTCATTAGTCAGTGCAACGCAGCGATTTTCTGCCAAAGTATCGTCCCGTTGCGTGCAAACAGTTGTCAAGGCATCGAAGCAAAGAGCAGCAGAGTCCATACTTGGAGATACTTGGAGTAACCCAAACCAATGTTCCTGCGGTCCTCGGTCGTGAGACTTCGTCTGCACGCAGACGAACCGAGAATTTTGCAACTCATCGTACACACGCAATGCGATCTTCAAACTGTGCTTGAGAGCTGCCATTTCTTCGAAGCCAATGTCAATCATCAAGTTTTGCGACTCCAAATTTCCTTCCTCTTCTACTTTGCGTTGCAGCAAGATTCTCAGGTCAGCGCTCTGCAGCACATGAGCATTCGTAGCTGTCGAAGCAGGGCTCACGTTGCTGAGCTCAGGACAGCAATTCGAAGTCGATTGCAAACTTCAAGAACTCGCAAGGTCTGATCACCATGGCGTTTGCACTCGTGGACCGCACTGTCGCACGAGGATGATAGCAAAATGGTTCTGCAACAGCAGTGCTTACCTACAGTAGGTTGCGGACGTGTCTGTAAGCTTCCAAAAACATAGATTCCAAAACACCCTATGGTCACCACACGTTGCAGAACACCAAGAGAGAACCGATTCGACGATGAAACGACCGCACACCCGCCGCACACACCAGGTACCTTTCATCGCCGCCTGCAGCCACTTTACAAGGAAAAACACAAGGTTTCGTGCTCTGGCTTCCTCCCCAACACAAGTCCCACGCAAGATTCATGCAGCCATTACAATGCGATTTGCCACCTGCGATGCAACAAGCGCAAAGAACTACGCGCACATGAACAACCACACGTTGCAGAACATCCCTTCGTCACCACTTCCCTTCGTCACCACTTCCCTAGGCACCACACTTCGTTCGTCACCACTTCCCTTCGCGACCGCTTCCCTTGGTCACCGCTTCCCTTGGTCATCACTTCCCTAGGTCCACACTTCCATAAGTCCCCACACCACCCTGCGTGCATGTATTGTTTTGTGATGTAAGGTAGCACAAGTCTATCTAAGTAACCACACCAACCTTCATGGAAGTATTGTTTTGTGATGCAAGGTATCACACCACCCTTCATACATGTATTGTTTTGTGATGTAAGGCATCACACCACCCTTCATGAATGTATTGTTTGTGATGTAAGGTATCACACCACCCTTCATGAATGTATTTTTTGTGGTGTAAGGTATCACAATTCTATTTGTCCGTAACTCAGAAGATTGCTTCCCAACTTGCTTTGATCATAACTACTCAAGATAAAGACAGCACCAGGAAAAACTCTTCTGGACTTCTGCACGCTATGATAAAAGTCAAAATACAGAAGATTGCACTGTTGGCTGTGGTTGGATGGCACCATCAATGTCCCAACTCGTTGTTTCACAACAGCTCACGGATACACAAGTGTCAGCAGTGACAAGGGATGACACGGGTCCCTCCCCCAAAAGTTCCAAAATGGCTCAGGCTCACGAGAATGCAAAAAGGTCAAGACATGTCAAAACAATCAACAAACAACAGTGCAGTCCAGACTCATTGGAATTGTTCTGCTGTTTTTGGCCTCCCCTGCTATGCACGCAAAGCATGACCGCATGCACCCCCAGCGAACGCGTTAGCTCATCGCTTCGCTGTCATACGGCACAGCAAGACCCTGCTGGCCACGTTGGCCCCAAGGGTATGAGTGCTCAGAAGGCCAAGAAGGCAGGGAATGATTGTCACAAAGACCCCTACCGAGCACTCCCTCCGCGTGCGCCCCACACCCGGCCAACGGTGTGAGAATGAGCAACACAAGCTGTTCACCTGAATAAGACGGAAATTGCCCCGACGTGCAGCCGACGTACAAGGTCTTGCACCGACGCGCAAACCTTCTGATTGCTCATCCTTGGGTAGGGCTAAACACAACATATGTGGACAGGATATGGAGTAGCCTATATGTCACTCCGCTCTCTCCGTCTCTCTCCCTCACTGTCCCTGTCACACAGAAAAGCAAACAAGACTCAAGAAATGCTAGAAGCCCAATGAAACAACTTACTAGTGGCATTGACTCATCCATGACAACAAAAAAAACTCAACAAACAAACAGCTTGCTGTCTGCATGTTGATATGTTATGATATGTTGGTATCATCACCAAGATAAAGATAGCACCAGGAAAAACTCTTCTGGACTTCTGCACGCTATGATAAAAGTCAAAATACAGAAGATTGCACTGTTGGCTGTGGTTGGATGGCACCATCAATGTCCCAACTCGTTGTTTCACAACAGCTCACGGATACACAAGTGTCAGCAGTGACAAGGGATGACACGGGTCCCTCCCCCAAAAGTTCCAAAATGGCTCAGGCTCAAATTGTGGCAGGCGCTTCCGGCAAAGACAGTAGGTTTGGGTTGCTTGGGGGGGGGGGCAACCCATCCAAGAAAATGTGTCCACTGGCTAAAATGCTGGTCACACTCAATTATATTTTTATGGTCATAAACATGTTGGTCAGTTAATTATAGTTGTGCCTCCTTTTCTTGATTCAAGCCTCTACAGTCATCCACAATAGAAGTTGTTCTTTAGCTGAGAATATGGTACCAAAGTTGATGGTCATACAATCACCATGTTCATCCATGTTCCCTAGTGAAACTACGTACATGTTACAAGGTTCTTTCCAACTGGAGAAACCATTTCAGTGCTCAATCATAGCAGCAGAAAAATCACCGAGAAATCTTTGCTATTAACATGCATCCTGCTAAGTAGTTGTGACATCACCCAAGTATGTACATGGTCTTCTTGGGTACACATACACTACAATACATCGCATTGCATGACATTACGCTACAATACATCGCATTGCATGACATTACACTACAATACATCGCATTGCATGACATTACACTACAATACATTGCACTGCATTACTTTACATTGCCGTACCAGACCATACCACACCATACCATGTATATACAGTACATACAGACGCAGAGATATAAGATAAGATGAGATAAGATAACATAACATAACATAAGATAACATAAGATTATAAGATAGATCAGATAAAATAACATAGACATAGACATAGATAGATAATATAGATAAGATAGATAGGTAGATAAGTAAATATCATATACACCCTTTTCCAGTTACCATTGCTGGAATGCACACAGTGCCTCGTTGACATGGCAACGCCCAAACGGCCCACCTCGAAGCTTGAAGCATCGGGAGGCCCTGGTTCCTAGCTTCCTCCATGGATTACCTAGAAATTGGGGGGATAACAACCATTTAATGAGGGTACACTGGGTTTTTTTCATGGGATAGAATGGGTGAATCAGGGGGAATTCAAGCAATAGTTGAAAAAGGGAGCGATTTTTTTCTTTTTTTTTTTTGGTCGTCCAGGCTCCTTTCCTTGGTTTTTGCAGCTAAAATCTCTCATTTGCTGCATGTTGTCGCTAAAATCTCTCATTCCCACTGTTCATCAATTTTTGGACTGGCTTCAGGATTTTTCAATGGTTTTCGTCAATGGTTCCATGTTTTTCTTCAATTGTTCCATGTTTTTCGTCAAATTGTCCATGGTTTTCTTCCATTCTTCCATGGCTTTCTTCAATTTTTCCATTGTTTTCTTCAATTTGTCCATGGTTTTCTTCAATGTTTCCATGTTTTTCTTCAATTGTTCCATGTTTTTCGCCAAATTGTCCATTGTTTTCTTCAATTCTTCCATGGTTTTCTTCAATTTTTCTATGGATTTCTTCAATTTTTCCATGGTTTTCTTCAATTCTTCCACGATGCTTCCAAATGCCACACCTGCCACATAAACAGCCGCGACTCCAACGAGAACCAAGCGCGCCACCAGAGCCAGCCCAGTGCCAGAAGTGCCACGCCTGCCACACAAAGTGAAGTCCGATGCCGCCAAGTGCCGTAAGTTGTGTGTGAGAGAATTGTGTGTGTGAGTAAGTTGTGTGTGTGAGACGGAAGGCGACGGAATTAAATTGGCAATAGTTTTGGAGCCACAAGGGTGCAAAAGCCAAGAAGCCAAGAAGCCACAGAGGCCGCACAAGCTGCAAAAGCCGCAAAAGCCATCAAAGCCACGAAAGCCATAGAAGACCAAGAAACCACGAAAAAACATAAGCCACACAAGCCACAGAAGCCAAGCAGCCACCAAAGCCCTTAAAGACCAAGACGTCACGAAGAGCCGCAGAAGCCACAAAAGCCACAGAAGCCAAGAAGCCACACAAGCCGAGATCCAAGAAGCCACCAAAAGGCCACAAAAGCCACAGAAGCCAAGGAGCCACACAAGCCACAGAAGCCACACAAGGGAGATTCTAGCTCCACAATTCATGCAAAACACAGATTTTAGCTCTCCAAGATGCAGCAAATACAAGCCAGACGCCAGACACCGAAGGAGCCAGAAGCCAAAAGCCAAAAGCCAGAAGCCAAAAAAAAAACACAAAAATGCAAAAAAATGCCAAGCAAAATACCCCTCCGTTGAAAAATGGATGTTGAACTGCCATTTCAAGTGGTTTTGGTGCTGAGCTGCTAAACCAAATAAAACATAGGGGGCTCTCAGGAACACCCTGAATTCGGACCTTGGGGTCCCACCTTGTTGCTTCACCAGGGAGCTGCACGATGCGGCTGACCTGTGGCCCACAAGTGGTTGGCATGTCGGCATGTTGCTAGCTACCTGAATGTTCGACATTGTCATTCCTTGGAGAATCTCTGCTCCCTCCAAATGTAAGAAAAATGTGGAGTTGTGGGGCAACATGTTTTTGCTGCCCTGCTATACACAAACATTGATAGACTCCATTGTGCCATTGGATTTTGCCCATTTGTGCCTGCACCTATCAATACGGTTTCAAAGTGTCCATAAAGAAGAAGCGGTTGCGGGAGCCACAGACATGTACCCGAAGAGCTAGTGTCTATTTCCATTTGAGAAAGAGATGGGCCAGCACATACAATCTAGAGCCTGACTTTCTAACATCTTCGGAACAGAGTTCACACATGCAACAGAAGAGATTGGAGGACAAGAGATGTGCTGGAAAAGATTTGAGCCCGTGTCTGTTTCTGCTTTGGAATGCCCCAGGAAGTGGCTGTGAAGTGAAGAGTCACTGTGCTTGACGTAGATCTCTCCCTCCCTTGCTAGAGCAAAATAAATTCCGGCGAGCTTCCGCTGGCCTTCATGATATCTGTTGATCTAACCCAACTTTTGACGGTGGCAAATGTATTTTTGTTACCCCCTGGCAATCAAACATGGCTATTGAACAAAAAAAACATTTCGTTTGATGCTTCGCCTGTATACAGATAGATAGATAGATAGACAGATAGATAGATAGATAGACAGACAGACAGATAGATAGATAGAGATAGACTTGATGGCCAACCATGTTGAGACTGACTTGATGATCGTAATTTGATGACTAGTGATGATTTAATTATGGTTGGTGATGGTTAATGATTAGTGATTGTGATTAATGACTTTTCTTAATGATGCGTATTGACATCTCGATGGGATGATGATTTACTTTACTATCATGTTTGGGGGGATGATTTTTAGTGTAGGTGAATATGGCATGCATGGATGACATGGATGACATGTATGATGTTTTTCGCCATCCCAAAATAGGCTACCCGGCATTACCCGCGACGGTTACTAACTGGCCACGGCTCTGAGCCACCAGGCTGCCACCATTGCCACGGCAGAAACATCACCAACACCCAGAATAGGATGGATAAGCCATAACAATTAATAACCATTAATAACAATTAATTTTAATAACCATTGATGGTATATGATTTGCTACCAAAAACTGTAACTAAGCCAGCTTGACAGGAGTGGGCTGCATCTCCCATGGATTAAGTTGAGCCCCCTAGTTCCGAATTTGTTTCACCCAACAACCAACTGTGTAAAAATTCACCATAATAAAATTCACCATAATCACCATCAGATGGCCCAGTTGTAAACCAACTTACGTATCTGTTGGGGCGCCAGTTGTTTTTCAGAGGTTTTTGTGGGCGGGGCATGGGACTCACGGTGAGTAAGTGCGTATGCTTCCCATATTTCAACGTCCGCCCAATGTCCCTTCCTTGGAAAATCCAAATTAATTGTGTTCACAAATCTGCAGGAAATCCGTCAGTGTTGGTGGTGACCATACTCATGTGTACGTATATATATTAATATATGCATAGATATATATATATATATATACGTACATATATATATATTTATTTATTTATTTACATATATATATATATACATATGTATATACATATACATATATATATATACGTACATATGTATATATATATATACATATCTATATATATACTGTGTTTTGGATTTCCGTGTCGTCGTGTTTTGGATATCGTGGCCATACATATATACATATATACACATAGTCATCATCAAGTAGAAGTACTGTAATATAACTATACAATGCTTTCCTCCAATTCCGGCAACAGCCAGAGCTTCTGCACAGATTTCTTTTTAACTGGAAGACAAGTAGGGACGGATCACGGCACGACGGCAGTATCAGCCTGGCGTCCACGTGTTGCACCCGCCGTTTGGACCCCACAAAACCATGGAAAAACATAGCCCAAATTGTCATTCATGTGTGGAATTACGTGGAATTCATGTCATTCTATGAATCTCGGAATACTTCACATGGTTCTAGAATAACGAGATTCTCTGTTCCAAACGCAGGTTCGTTTGAAGTTATAAATGAGAGAAACAAGCCGCCAAGGCCCACTTTGGTCGGGATTTGCTCCTGTAGTGGCATTCAGGCTCAGAAATTGTCTAGAAATCGTCTCGAACGAGATTGCCAGTGCACTTGTCCTTGTGATTTGGTGGGTTGAGGGCCAAATTGCCCCAAGAGTTACATTTTTTTTACAGTAGATTCTCAAAATTTCTCAAATTTGATGCAAAAAAAAATGCAACTTACTCCCAACTGGGGCTCCAAACATCACCGCCTCCATGCCCGCCTTGCTCTCAGGTCCTGACAGCAGGGGGAACCAGGCCGGTGCTGTGGATGTCGCTTCCATTGGAAGGATTCTGAAGGATCAATTACGATAATTACGTTGGTAAGTTTATATATATATATCCTATAGAGGATTCATATACGCATATATACTCCAACCTTTGCCCTTGACCTTGCAGTCCTTACCTTGCAAGACAGACCTGATCTCATAGTTATATCTCCAAATCCACAAACTCCCCAGTGATACTGGCAGATACCGCATGGTACAGGAAATTCTGATGGTCCCGAAGCCTTCTATCATCCTTTTTCTACCCTTGGAAAAAATGGGTTCGCAAAGTGGAACATGATGATCTGTGCCACCTTACCCCTGCATAACCAACCAATAGCCATGTCTGCCATTGTCTGCCATCCAGCATGGCCAAAAAAAGAATATGCTGGTCCCCTGGCCTTTTCGGATGTCTGCTACGATGCCAGCCACATAGTTCAACCTGTCAGTTGGTATGGTTCAGTACCCAAAAATTCATTGAATACAATGGGAATATACTCGGCATATCACTTTTTAAGAAGGACATACCAACCAGAAAAACTTGCAAATATTACAAATATATCATGGGAATATGCTGCTACCCTGCCACTTGCATGTGCAATCCGTTGGCTGCAAATGGGTTTTTACAAGCATGGTACAAGTATAACCCAGTCATATGTAGTATATTCCCAGTTATTCCACATTTTATATGGGTTCATGTGTAAATAAGCATGGAATAACCCAATCATGATGGGATATTTTCCCAACCAATGACCTCCTCAATTGTCACTGGGCTCATGGGTTCCTAACCAATTACCTGGGACGCACATCTTTCCCGTCCCATGTGGTTTACCATACTTCCCGGTGCACGGCATAAGATGCGCAGCCCAGCTGCATGAACGAGGATGGTGGCACGCCGACCTCCAGATGCAATGACTTGGCCCTTGAAGAATGTCCACTTAGTTGCTATTGGGCCTCTGAATATGGACGTACCCTACAATCCCATAGTTACCATAGTTCATATCATTGTCCCTATGAAAATGGCTGCCGATCTCACCAAACATTGCGGTTTTTTAACTCCCATTCTCAGACACAACCCCCATGAATCCCCTATGAAAACATCCCCATGAATTTTGATGGTTGGATCCGCATTTTCAGACAGGTTAATCCTGTTATGATGGTTAAATCCCTATTGGCATTGGCTACTCCCACTTTTAATGGCTAAATCCCTATGTCTTATGTTTACCCTCTGATAAATTCACGCTGCTGTGGGAAAACAGCAACCTTTGTAGATCATTTTTTGAGGGAAACCATTGGTTTTCCACATCTTTTTGTATGTTTACCCCAATTTGTAAAACTCCCCGTGACATTCACTCGACAAAAACCTGAGCGCGGCACCGTGTTCATGACCACTTCTTTGGTGGCGGCCACGGCACCAGGCGCGCACAGAGTCATGCGATCACACACCGCTTGGCACTCAGCCTGGCTCTTCAGAATGATTGGCAAAAAGAAGGTGGTATGTATCTATGTCTATACATAGTTAAATATAGATCTAGATATAGATGTAGATATGTCTATAGATAGATAGATAGATAGATCGATAGATAGATAGATAGATAGATCGATAGATCGATCGATCGATCGGATAGGATAGGATAGGATAAGATAAGATAAGATAGGATAGGATTAGATAGGATTAGATAGGATTAGATTAGATTAGATTAGATTAGATAGATAGATAGGTAGATAGCTAGATAGCTAGATAGCTAGATAGATAGATCGATAGATCGATAGATCGATAGATCGATTGATCGATCGATAGATAGATAGAGATAGAGATAGAGATCGAGATGGAGATAGAGATGGAGATAGAGATAGAGTCAGAGATGTAGATAGAGATGTAGATAGAGATGTAGATAGAGATGTAGATAGAGATGTAGATAGAGATGTAGATAGAGATGGAGATAGAGATGTAGATAGAGATGGAGATAGAGATGTAGATAGAGATGTAGATAGAGATGTAGATAGAGATGTAGATAGAGATGTAGATGTAGACGTAGACGTAGATGTAGATGCAGATGCAGATGCAGATGTAGATGTAGATAGATGCACATACATAAACTTGAAGGGACCAAATATGCTTTCCACTATACAACTCAAACGCCACCCTCATTCCTGGCCCTCTCCACTAACCTTCAAGTGGCCGAATGCCTCAAGGTCTTTGACATCATCAACGACCTTGTCCACGAAACCGTACTCCTCAGCCACCTCCGCTGTGAGTCTTGCGCCCGCCAGTACCAACTGATACCTGGCGCTACCAGTGAGAAAATCATAAAGATTGAATGGGTGGGTTTGAGGGGAAAATCTACTGGAGAGCCAGGGGTTCCCGCGAACCGGTTCCCTTAAACCAATTCGGCTCCATGGTTTCTTGCAAATGATCCCTTCAAGACAGTGAACACTGGATCACTTTGACAACTGGATGATTCTTTGGTGTTGTCAAGTTTGTAAAAAATAACACAGGACCCTCAGGGCCCCAGCGATTTTTTTCTGCACAAAAACTTATTAAAACCTCGGTCCTATTGATATGGCCTTTATGCAACGCTCAACTTGAAACAACTTGGAGCAACCTTTATCATCATTATCAATAGTATTATTATTATTATCATTATTATTATATTGTATATATAACGATATATAACTACGATGTATATAACAATATATAACGATTATGTTTCACTGGAAGACTTAACAGAAATCCATCATTTTGCACCGCATTTTCCACCACTCCACTTCCTCGGGAGTGGCTCCCTTGAGCCGCAGACACGTTCTTGATGAAGGTGCATCGCCTGCCGATCGACAGGCCATCTAAAGCGGAGAATCGGCACGGTTCGTGATGCCATGTGAAGCATTAAATGGTCCTTAAATGGATGAGTTGGTATGGAAATCTGCATATATATATATATATGGATGGATGGATGGATGGATGCATGGATGCATGGATGCATGGATGCATGGATGCATGGATGCATGGATGCATGGATGCATGGATGCATGGATGCATGGATGCATGGATGCATGGATGCATGGATGCATGTAGGCATGTAGGCATGTATGCATGTAGGTATGTAGGTATGTAGGTATGTAGGTAGGTAGGCAGGTAGGCAGGTAGGTAGGCATGCATGCATGCATGTAGGCATGTATGTATGTATGTATGTATGTATGTATGTATGTATGTATGCATGTATGTATGTATGTATGTAATGTAATGTATGTAATGTAATGTAATGTAATGTAATGTAATGTCATGTCATGTCATGTCATGTCATGTATGTATGTATGTATATGTATGTATGTATGTATGTATGTATGTATGTATGTATGTATGTATGTATGTATACGTGTGTTTGTGTGTACATACGATGATATATTATGTACTGTACATACTCCTGATCCTGGTCCCTTTTGACGATCAAAGAGAATGATAACAAAGTGCTGTAGAAGTGCAGCAAAATAAGTAGTGTGCAAAGACAACATTGTTTGGAGTATGTATGTTTAAAGATTCACCAATGATACACATCTTTAAAATCTAAGAAAAGCTAGTCCTACTTCCAGTGCTGCAGGAAACTCTGTCTGAATACGGAGTACCCTCTGGTAGTCCAACAGGTTGCCGTGGGAAATCACCACTCTTACACAGGTACCTCAGCCTTTTGCATGAACCATTTGTCCCAGCTATGTGAAGTTACCAGGTACCACAACATTCTGTGACCAGTGAAAGGCTTGCCTGGTGATGTAGGGCAAAGCTGCAGATGGAACCTGGCATTTCCCCGGAGCTGGCACCGGCCAAGGAATCTGAGGTTCCGAGTTTCGTGAAAAAATATGGGAAGGTTACGATTCTGGAATGACTCAGCTACAAATGTATATCTACATATATCTACATATTAGATGGTGCAGATGCAATAATTATACATCTACACACTTGAAATACAACCACGGATGTTACATTTACAAGCAGCTCATCTGAAGCGCCAAGGAACGGCTCCGAGCTTTGCCTCACTCATCGTGAAGAAAGCACCTGACTTGGATGATGGCGAACGGGCAACAAGGACTTGGCTGTTAAAATAGTCATTTACCCAGCAAAAATGGTGGATTTAACATGATTTAACCATCAAATGCTGATCAAACATTGGGATTTCAACCACGAAAAACTGAGTTTTCACAAGTAAAATACATGAAAATATCATGGTTCAACCGGCAACAATGGGTTGATCAAGAAACTAATTACTTGGAGCTGCATCCCAGAAATCGTATGTGTCACATAACCCATATATGACTGGGGTATATCTGTATATATTTTTATACATATATATATATATATGTGGATTATAATTAGCAGTCGTCATTACTGTACCAACTTGGTAGCTGAGATGCACATCCAAGTAAGAATCACTCTGAATTGGTTCAGAAGCATTGGGTTCAAAAATGCAAGTTCACTTCAAAAATGCGAGTTTCTCAGAAAAGATGGTACCTCAAAATCTGATGTTTGATCCTCGTTGACCACAGATACCACAGTAAAACTTTGCGATTTTTGTATCCCCTAATTGGGTAAACCTCTCGTAACCCACAGATGGCGGACCCTTCGCAGAGATGACATAGTCACAGGCACACACCAAACCAATGCCTGCCTAGGAGGGATGTCAGAGGATGTCGGAGGCTCAGTGGAATCTGCTGATTTGATGTGGGTAGCTGCTTTCCTCTGGTACCTTGTATCCTGAATATGTTGCCAGAATGGATAATGTGAGTGCCAGTGTTGATATGCTTAGTTTTCACCCAGACCCGAGACTGCAAAATCGTATGACGCCTCGAGACATGTTCATAGCGTGGGCTTTGTAAGCCCTTCCTCGATCATATTCAATGCCCCCCAAACGAAACTCCATTTGAGCAGTGGATCTATCTTTAATAGTGAAATCTCAACGGTTGATCTTTACATCCAATCACATCCCATCCATTGTGGTCATGGGTCCAACGTGCAGAGATCGGTTGCCAAGCGGCTCCCATGGCGGTGCCCTGAAGCAAAGCCACGGTCAACTGTGGTAGCCTCCGCAGTGCTATCGGCAACAAATGTATCGCCCAGAAAAATCCGTGACCATTCCGTGACCATTCCAGGCTGCAGTTTTCCCGCACGCGGCGCTTCGCAGGCCCGAAGCCCTGTTGGACCTTGGCGAATTGCTCCAAAAAAATGGGATGATTGCCGAAGTTTGGGTACCCTCTAGCATATAAAAAAACACGGACAACCCCAGGAAATGATCTATACATGGTGTGTGTTCCATATCTATGTGCTTGGCAACTGCGGATAGTAGCTGTCACATGTCACGGGTTACATACAGTCCGCTTCTTCACCATTCACTGAGTGCAGGTAGTATCCTTGTAGCTCAAAGAGGAAAGTGACAACTCCCCATAACTTTCCAGCAGCTGAACAGCACGCTACACTTGGAGAATTGCTGGTTTTGGCCTTGGTACCTGAAATTTAAAGAAAAAAACATTTCCCGGGTAAACCAGTTTCATCATGTTCCCTCCTAAAAATTGCCTAGTATATTGGTGGGAAAATTCGCATTTTCTGCCACAACCAGCTACTGATTCGGGCTCGGCTGCGGCTCAGCCAGCACGTTCTTCGTCAGGATTCTAGCGGCCGCTCAGGAGATGAAGAAAATGATGATGATGATGGTGATGGTGATGGTGGTGATGATGATGATGATGATGGTGATGATGATGATGATGGTGATGATGATGATATGATGATGATGATGATGATGGTGATGATGGTGATATGATGATGATGATGATGATGATGACGATGATGATGATGATGATGATGATGGTGGTGGTGGTGGTGGTGATGACGGTGATGATGATGATGATGATGGTGATGATGATGGTGATGATGATGATGATGATGACGATGATGATGATGGTGATGATGATGATGATGATGCTGATGGCGGTGATGGTGATGATGGTGATGATGGTGATATGATGATGATGATGATGATGGTGATGATGATGATGGTGGTGATGGTGATGATGATGATATGATGATGATGATGATGATGATGGTGATGATGATGATGGTGGTGATGGTGATGATGATGATGATGATGATGATGATTGTGGTGATGGTGATGGTGATGGTGATGAAAATGATGATATGGTGATGATATGATGATGATGATGATGGTGGTGATGATGATGATCATGATGGTGGTGATGGTGATGATGATGATATGATGATGATATGATGATGATGATGATGGTGGTGGTGGTGGTGGTGGTGGTGGTGATGACGGTGATGATGGTGATGATGATGATGATGACGATGATGATGATGGTGATGATGATGATGATGATGATGATGATGATGATGATGATGCTGATGGCGGTGATGGTGATGATGGTGATGATGGTGATATGATGATGATGATGATGATGATGATGATGATGATGATGATGATGATGATGATGATGATGATGATGATGATGATGATGATGATGATGATCGGACGTGACAGGAGGATTTTTCCAAAATTCACTGGAACCAGTATCATTTACCCTCCACTAAAGGACAAGATCGCCATGAAAAAAATTGCCTAAATGGTGATTTCCACGGCATGTTGGTGGTTAGCCAAAAAGTGTGAATCATAAATAAACAGTTGTTCTATCTTCCAGTCCCCAACTCATGGCATGCTCGTCACGTTGCTTGAAGGGTAAATGATAACATCAATACCCATGATTCTCCCATTCTTGCTGGTTTTATCTCCATGAAATATCTCCAATTACAGATATTTACAGATTGTGTTCCCCTTATATTCCAGTATAAACCTTATTTAACTCCATAAATTCCCCCAACTAAGACAAATGGTCCTCATTCCCAATGTTTCATGCTGAAATTCCCAACTTTTCAGACAAAAATTTGCTCCCCATCTTCACATCATGGCCGCCGCCCATGCCAGGTGCCGCCTCATCCACCCCTGCGCCAGGCTCCGGTGGATCTTCTTTGCAAACTCCGCCCACGCCCTCCCGGGCGATCTGCCATGTCAGCACAGGGGGCCTCACTGCACCGGGAACACGGGGTGTCTTGTTTTCTTCATAGAAAATGGATCTATACATCATAAAACGTTGTGATAACATGAAATAAAGTTGATATAGCACGAGTTATCATGTACGTATCATATATATATATATGTATATATATAATCTATCATAATTATATCATATGATATCGTTATATCATCCCTAGTTAGTATCTCACATATCTCAAATGCCATATATCATACCATACCACATCCTGATGATCATCCCATCCATCATCGGCTCTGCCGCCCAGCTGCCTCTCCGGCACCTTTGGCGTTGGATTCAGAAAGCCACAGATCCGCGGGAACTTTGGCTTCGGCGGCGGCTGAGCGGCGCGCCAGCGGCGTGGGAAACATGCGCAAAACTCAGATCAAACTTACCGAAAACTGGCTTTTTGACGGTTTGTTTTTTTAAAAATATTGAAATTGAGTAGCAGGATAAAAAAACATGGTCCGTGATGATTCATGATGATCTATGATTTAGAGGTCCCCAAGTCTACTTACCCCAAAACAATTGAACATGTGTCCCCTGCCCCTTAGCTCCACACCGGTGGCGTCCAGTCTGCATCTATACCTTGGAACGAGCTGCAAGGATACGAAGCAATGGTGTTTTCACATGCCCGAATCCGCTATACTACAAATTATATATCTAATATTGTTATATATGATTATATGTGACTATATATATATTATATAATATATATATATATATATGATTATATTAAAAACGATGTCCTGTTTTGAGTGCGTTCCTGATTTTTTTTGAATCAATTCTCTCCCTTCCCTTGCGACAATTTCAGTTCTAGGCTCGTTCCGTTGCCTCGAATTATCTCCAAAAATGCAAGTATGACCAAGGGGCACCTCAAAATGCCTCAAACGAACTTCGGGAGAAAATATCCTCAAACTCCACATCTATGCATCCATTTCGCCAAGGTGCACTTGGGATTCTTCCCCCCAGTGCACTGCAATCTAACTGGCGGCACTTCACAGAGAGCCTTTTTGGCCGCCTGGAAGGCAGGGCAAAATGTAATTTTGATTGTCCACATTTGGCACAAAGACCTAAACACTTCACTAAACCTCTGACAAACTGGATTTTGCATGGAAGAAACACCCATCGTTGGATTGGTATGGATTGGTTTAGGGAAAATTGGAGGCGACCCATTGGTTGTTTATCATTTAAATATAAGCGACGTGTTCCATTGAAGCGCCTGGAGGTATCTCTTGTCATTTGCCAGCTTGGTGTCTGGCAAGGCACAGAAAATGACAACCAAGAAAGGTTTTAAAAACGCCAAAGTGAGGATGTTGGCGAATGCTGGCAGCCAGCTATGCATCTTCTGCGCTGAAATCCGGAGTCTTGACATGTCTCGATGAAATACACATCTCAATACTATTTCTTCCGCAGGACGGCAGGAGCTTTGACATATGAAAAATCATCAGTTTGCTGAATCTACCGATGTTTTGTTCGGCCAAGGATCTTTTGATGGCATGATAGGTGTGAACCGGCCTCAGAACACTCAGAACAGTGTTCCAAGGCCAGACCGGCCATGGTATGATCTGGTATCTGGTGATTTCAATCATCGAAAGCGTCTCAAAAGAACATCATTTCATGTATACAGTCTGTATACCCATTATTAATGCCATTATTATACCCATGATTATCCCATTAATGCCATTATGATACCCATAATAATGATCATTTATGATTTTCGGTATAGCCCATTCGGAATGGGATACCACCAAGACTCCCAGTCACAATGGGCCAATGGGATGGTTTTCGTCGCTTCACCAAATTGTCATCACAATCTCATCAATAGTCATGGGTATAGTCATGAAACTATGGAGAATCAAAGAATATTAACGATAAACCACGATAGTTTTCATCAAATCGATGAATGTATAAACATGAAACTAGTGGTATCTCATCAAGGTCTCATCAACTAAGCTTAGTTTGGAACCACGATAACCCAGTTGTATGTTCAACCCTCGCGCCTATCATCTAAGCCCCCCACGCAGCTGCACCAGATTCATCTTCGGGGCCGTTGCCTCGGCACATGGCCATGGTAAGAAAATATGTGTCTTATATATGACTCATCGGTTGATGGTGATATCATTCATGAATATTCATGTTATATCATGTTATATCATGTTATATCATGTTCTATCATATCACTCAGATTCACCCAGAGTTTAATTTATATCAAAACCATAACCTACCGAGGTTCCAGGTTGTTTCGCTTCTCAGAGCCCGTACCCAAACAAAAGGCCCAGAAAAAAATGGAAAAATGGGGGGTTCAGGGCGTATATGTTTGTATGTTGCTTGTTATGATTTTGTGTTGGGGTTCAATGTTTCATCTTCGCCTTTGATGTTTTTTCAGGTGGGGTTTTGGGGGTAATTTTGTTGCTAAAGTGATGTGTCAATGTTTGGATTGAATGGGGGTAGGATTTGTTTAGGCTGTTGGGGTTTTTGTTTGTGTTTGGGTGGGTGATTACTTCATAATATGTGTTGTTAAGATATTATGAATTAATCATTTATGCTTTCCACTTTCCTATTCCATCCCACCAGTGTTCAATCACTCTCATTTGTGTTAAGCAGGGTTTGTTTGTATCATTCAGTTCATCCATCGCTATTGATAAAAGAGTTATGTTAATAATCATTGCGTTGAATTCACCATCACGGTTGAGTTCCTTTCCACAATCAATGATGATTTTTTTATCAGTCAGGTTTTCATACATCTTTTTCATAATGTCAAAATTTACAAACATATATATCGTCATATCCTTTACCCCTTCCCCTGATTTCATCCTATCAATTACTTTCTTCCAAAACTTTTCTCCTTCCTCATCATCTGGTGAAGGCATAGGATGGCACTTTACAAAGTCTCTAATCTCTTCATTTTCTTTTTCTATTTGTTTTCTTTCCCAATCATCGTCCTCACTATCACTACCAAAGTCAGCATATATACCAATATTCCCTGTATCTATAACCTCAATTTTTGCTCTACTCATTTTCTCTTACTATATATAGATATTTTTTTTCTTTAAGTATTTATCACTTTTTGTAGGTGCTCTTTTATTTCTTCTATGTTCAAATATTTCTCATAACCGTTGAACAGTTCTTCAACATATTCACGCAAGAAAATTTCCAAAATGTCTTTTATCTTGAACTCCCTGTTTCTAAACATAAAAGTTCGTTCAACATTAGGAAACCACCAGCATCTTCGTTGCTTACTGTAATTGATGAAATTAAGGTCGTGAAAGTTCTTTAGAATATGATAAGTGTATTTCCAATGGTTTTTGACATAAGACTTAATCGCTTGAAGATATATCTTATCCTTTTGAAATTCTACCTTCAGTTTATAGGTGTCCAATAAGGCATCTATTTCTCTCTTCATTACTCTTACATTTGTTCGGTCGGTGTTGGATAAATAGATAGGTGATTTTTCCATCCTTGTTTTAAAGAAATGTATTTGTTTTTCAACTCTTGTTAGTTCTTTCTCTTCAAAATGGTCAAAATGATAGTTGAATGTTATATATCTGCGTTCCTTATCATTCAACTCTTTACATTTTGAACAGTGAAGGTTGTAATCACATATCTCATCACAAATTCCAGCAGGAAAAATGTTGTTCAATAAAACCTTAATGTCAGTCATTTCTTTCTTACAACATCCACAGTTTTTATAAGTAAATAGCATCCTCTTACTATATATAGGTAATTTTTCTTTAAGTAGTTTTTGGGGGGCTCGTTCAGTTTTCGGGCTCGGGTTGGTTTTTATTTTCCCTTTCCTCCTCTTCCAGTTCTCTTATGACCATATCTATTTCACTCATTCCTTCGTTGGGGTCTTGTCCATTGGCGAGGTTTCTTAACCTCTCAAAATCCTTCACTTTATGTCTTTCATTGGGTGGGAGGGTTTTGAGATGTTCCTTCAACTCTGTCAGGTCAAAGTATGTGTCTTCCTCCTCATCCTCATTTTCCAAAAACATTTCCATTCTTTGCTTTTCCATTTCCATAAGTTTGTTTTCCATATATTGGAATTTCATTTGCTTCTTGTAGCACTTGCCACACACATTCACGAAGGTTTTGAGCAAGTAGTTCCAATTAGGTTGGTTTCTATCGTTCAGGGTTATAACATCTGTCATTATACGACATCCACAGTCAAATTTAGTCATCTTATTTAGTCTTACTATATATAGGTATTTTTTCTTTAAGTATATTTTTTATTGTTGATAATTTTAAAAATCTAATATTATAATATATGGCAAGGAGACTATCAAGAGATGACATCATAAGCAATGTCTATTATAATCTTGAAACGGGCTTCGGTTCAATCAATGAGACCCTTAAGAAAGCCAAGGAGCAAGACCAGACCATCAACAGGGTGGATGTGGAAAACTTTATGAGGAAACAGCCCAACAAACAGATTAGAAAATACAGGGGGTCAAACTCCTACACCGCACCCTTCGCAAGGTTTGAATATCAGATTGACATAATGGATATGAAACCCCTTACCAAAGAACCAGAGACGAAAATTCCCATCAAGAACGATGAACCGAGATATGGGTTGGTGGTCATTGACATCTTCAGCAAGTTGGCAAACGTCGTCCCTATGAAAGAAAAATCCGGACCAATCACATTGTCGGCGATGAAAGAGAGTTTCAACAAAATGGGTTTTCCAATGTCCGTTTATAGTGATAATGACCGTGCCTTCCAAGCAGGGGTAAAAGAGTTCTTTGAGAAAGAAGGCATCACTCACGTCGTCACCCTAACACACGCCAATGTTGTGGAGCGTTTCATAAGGACAATGAAGAATATGATACACGACAGGGTGAGGTTTAATCGCGGTAGTTGGACTGTTATGTTGTCCAAAGCGTTAGATAAATACAACGACACCGTCCATTCATCCACCAAAATGAAACCCAAGGATGCCCACGACGACAAGAACCATATGGACGTCAGGGTGAATTTGACAAGGAGGGAAAAGAACACTCGCAAATATCCAGAGGTCAAAGTGAATGATATGGTCAAGGTCTTTGAGAAGAAAAAAGACAACTACACCGAGAGGAAGGAGTATAACTCAAAGTGGAGCAATCAATCCTACAAAATCGTCAAGATAGAATACGATGACGTCGGAAACAGAACCTTCAAACTGGAAGGATTGAACAAACCGTATTTGAGGCACGAGATTTTGAAAGTATAAAAAATTATCTATAATATTAATATATGACAGAGGTAGTCGTAAAAGAGATTGATAATGAAGAACCCAAGGAAGAAACAATACCAGAACCAATACAGGAAGAAGCACGGCAAAGCCCTGCTTCCTATCGGGAAGCACCGAAAGAAGAGGAGAAACCAGAAGAAACAATTGAACCACCCGTTGAAAAGAAACCGCAACCAGCGCCAAAGCCCAAAAGGGTAAGACCGTCAAGGGCGAAACCACCTTTTGACCCAGAAGCATTCAAAAACGACCTTGTAAAGCAACTGAAGGAAGAAACACAGAGTGCAATGACCGCCAGAGACACCTACAACAAAGCCAAAGAGGAAAAGAACAAAGCGACGAGAGAGAAATTGAAATCTTTAGCATCAAAAAATTTATAAAGTATTATATATAAAAATGAACATCAAGGAACAGAAAACGGAACTCAACAAAACTGACATCTACGAAAACGTCCGCAAGGACATCAACAGAAGACAAACCGTCCATTCAAACAAAAGTGCCAACTACAGGAGCGGAACGCCCGAAATGCCAGACAGAAGAAAAAAAGTGTATAGTAGTTATGACCACCACTACCACAACGACAGCAACACGGCAAGGATGCCAACTCACAACCATCATCTTTACCTAAAGCGTCTTCTTGAATATCACAACACCGAGCACGACTACAAGGTCTTACAAGTAAAGCAGAGGATGAAGGAAGAGAATGAGATGCTACAGAATGAAATGACAAGGTTGAGGGAGGTGAGGAAAAATCACAGATTGGAAGATTACGGGGCGAACGTCCAGAATATGAAACAGAGAATTGATGAGTATAAACAGTGGTTGAGAGGCGATACACAAGATTAATATAAAAATCTAAAGTATTAATATATAGCAATGACAGCAGAAGTAATCAACACAAAACAGGGATTGACACGAATACCCACTTACGCAGAACTCATCAAGGAAATAGACAGGGAAAAGTTCAAAACCAATGACATCAGAAAAATCTTTGATAGGAACGCTTGGTATTTTCACGAAAGTCCGCAGGGTCAAGCACTGAACACAAACAACATCCACCCAGCAGACTTACAGCAAATGAACTTCAAAAAGATGGCAGAGGAAGCGACCGCGAGGAAGGAAGAAGAAACACCCAACCTTGACTTTGAAGATATGACAGACTTGAGGGACGACGCCATCAGCGACTTTGAGATGTCCTTTGACAGAGAGGCAGAGTTGAGGGAAGAGAACGAAAGGAGAGTAGCAGAACAGGCAAACTTAAGTCATTCACAAGAC